TTATAAAGCTGTCAATCTGACAAGTATTGTGAAACAATTATGTCAAATTAATCAAAGCAATTATCTGTCAACATGACAGTTTCATTCGATATCTTTGTTGCAAAATATTCTCAAAAATTAATACTTAAACGTATTACATGATATATATATATAAATTAATAAAATTATTAATATATTTTATGTTATACAAATGTTGCTAAATGTTACATAAAATTGTATTTTATAAAGCTGTCAATATGACAAGTATTGTGTGACAATTACGTCAAATTAATCAAAGCAATTATCTTTCAACATGACAGTTTCATTGATATTTTTTTTGCAAAATATTCTCAAAAATTAATACTTAAAATTTATTACATGATATATATAAATTAATAACATTATTAATATATTTTATGTTATACAAATGTTGCTAAATGTTACAAAAAATTGTATTTTTATAAAGCTGTCAATCTGACAAGTATTGTGTGACAATTATGTCAAATTAATCAAAGCAATTATCTGTCAACATGACAGTTTAATTGATATTTTTTTTGCAAAATATTCTAAAAAAATTAATACTTAAAACGTATTACATGATGTATATAAATTAATAACATTATTAATATATTTTATGTTATACAAATGTTGCTAAATGTTACATAAAATTGTATTTTATAAAGCTGTCAATCTGACAAGTATTGTGTCATAATGACTTTTATACTGTCAAAATAAATGTTGAAGTATAAACCTTTTGTTTTTATCTTTGTTTTAGGTTTTTGAAAGATAATCTTAAGGTAGTTTTAGGACAACACGATCGTTGCATTCCGAACAGCGACACCGTCCAATTTTCTTTAGCCGAGATCATCGTGCACGGCGACTTCGATCCGCGTGATTTTCGTCACGACGTTGCGCTCCTGAGGCTCAACATGAGGGTGACCAACAACAAGATCATCAGCCCCATCTGTCTACCAAATTTGGGTGAGTTTATTGCTAATTGTATAGAATATAGAGATTGAATTTATTTGTCTGCAGATGTGTACGGTAGGAAAGTGGTGGATAAATACAAGAGGAGATCGGGAAAGATCGTGGGTTGGGGTTCGACCATCGCCAACGACGAATCTTCGATCAGCTGTAGACCTTTGCAGGTATCAGTGCCGATTTTGGAGAGGTCTTTTTGCATCGGCAACGATGCCTCGCTCTTCTGCGCCGGTTACGTGAACGGAACGGCGGACTCTTGCCAAGTAAAACTCATAAAGTTACCAAAGAAGTAATGATAATATTTGTTTATTCGTTCGTTTGCAGGGGGACAGCGGCGGTCCGCTGCAGATTATAAATAGGTTTAAGAGATACGAGATCATCGGTGAAACTATTTGCGAACGCGCTCAGATTCTCTTTTTCTTATAACTTTACGTTTTCAGGGATAATATCTTCTGGTAGAGGATGCGCCGAAATCGGAGAGCCCGGATTGTACACGGATGTTCTGCAGAAACTCAATTGGATCTACGAGAGGATCTCCGATTCATCCTGTCTACCCTATCTACCCTTTTAAATTAACTATTTGTTCTAAGACTTGATACAGTAGCATGCATCTTTGGTAGCCTCCTTGATCCATCTCAAATGATCGCCGATTCTGGTGTAGAGCGCCGTGCTCGGTAAATCTGCGCAACCGTTTTTATCGGAGAGAATTCCTGAAAGCAAACATCAATCAATTATGTAACAAAACTAGTTAATCACTCACCAATAAGTTCGTAAACTCTGTTGTAAGATCTGTACATCACGGGACCTCCAGCATCAGTCTGAAATTTAACGATTAATTAAAGATGAAAACTTTAGAGAAGTCAACGAACCTCGCAAATTACGCTCTTAGCCCCAATCACGCCCAGACAGCCCTTATCCAAACTCGTGTATTGCGAGTCCAAAGCCGTACCAACGCATCTATCGTAATCGAGAATGGGAAGACCCAACTTCCTCGGTCTGCAAGAACTATCCGCGCTCGATCCTTCCGCCCATCCGACAACAGTCCCAACTTGCCCGACATACTTGGCACCTAATTACCAAACAATCAGAATACAATCCTCAAGTTAAGTTTAACTTAAACATCACCTGGTAAAGCAATGCAAATCGGATTGATCTTCCTATCGAAATTAATCGGACTACTGAGTTTAACCAGAGCCAAATCGTGAGCGCGATTTCCCGGACTGAAATCCGGATGCAATTTGATCGCGTCGACGCTTACGTTCTGCGATGAAACGTCCGGAAAGCAGCGATCGAATTGCCCCAAAGTCACCTTCAAATCGTATGGAGTTAACCTGAAGATCACAAGTTGCAAATTAATTGAATCATAATTAAAATTATTTAAATTAACCCGATAATCGTTGATGCTGAGGTGATCACGTATCTGTCGTTGATCAGGGTGCCTGGGATGACGAAATCTCCACGCACCTGGATCTGGGCCATCCATGGAAATTCGTTTGTTCTCAGATATTCTCCACCCAACAATTTGGCCTCGCGATTCGGAACACCGCATGCTGCAAAAAATAACGTATTTCAATATAATTTAGAGTTTTCAATTTGTTTTTTTCTAACCGCAATCGCATTGGTCGTTCAAGAAGAGGAAATCTAGAAGGCCCTTGGTTTGATTGGTTGCATCCTTCAAAAACAAAAAACAATTGATAAACTTTCAGAATCAAACATTCTACGATATTTGAAATAGATTTATTAACTAAACTTGTTGTAAAGATAACATTGATTACGTGTTTGAAGTGAAGACTTGTATGAAAATTAGTCGTACTCACGTATTTATTAGGTAGTAAAAGTGTTGCGAGAACGAAGACGAGAAATTTGCGGTACATCTCGGCGGCAGGTGAAGAATGGTGAGACACTGCTGAGAGCAAAGGAGTGTCCAGCAAACAGCAGCAGCACATCGAGCGGTGGTCGGTCAATCAACTCGCCACATGAAACAAGTTTTTCCGTTTCTCTTTTTTTTTTTCAATAAATAAATTTTGTTTCACAGTTTGACGTAAAAACAACCGAAAACTCTTAAATGGATAAACGAATGAAGGATGAACAACAACAACAACAAAAAAAAAATGAATTCCATTTTATTTATATCTACTAAATGTCTATCTATCTAAAATCTGTTCACATAGACTGGGGGGGCTAAATTAAAAATTAGTTAAATAAATTAAAACGAGGGATGGAGGAGGAAGTCGAGGGTTTCTTTAGTTTCATTTTCATTTTTAGTGTTGGGTTTTAGGGATTTTACGTTTCTTTTTTTTTGGAATTCATTTTATTTATATCTACTAAATGTCTATCTATCTAAAATCTGTTCACATAGACTGGGGGGGCTAAATTAAAAATTAGTTAAATAAATTAAAACGAGGGATGGAGGAGGAAGTCGAGGGTTTCTTTAGTTTCATTTATTTTTAGTGTTGGGTTTTAGGGATTTTAGGTTTTTTTTTTTAGAAATAATGACGCCTAGTTATATCACAATAATTAAGAGACAATTAGAAAACCGTTGTTGTTAATAGTTGTTGTAGTAATAATAGTTGTAAGAATCGTGCATTTTCAGTCTTGGCAGAAGCAGCCGTCCGCAGAGTTCTCCATGATCCAATCCAGGTATCTGGTGATCCTCGTGTAGACGCCCGGATATCCGGGCCTCGCACAGCCGTTGCCCCAGGATACGATACCTGATGAAAGATATCAAAGTTATCATCGATATATAACAATTGATGTTATTAATCAACGCCTACCGATAAGTTCGTATTTCTTGTCCGGCTTCTCGGTGATCAACGGTCCACCGCTGTCTCCCTAAAAAAAAAAAAAATTATTATCAAGTAATCCATGCATAGCTTTTGATTCCATTTACTTGACACGAGTCCTTTTGTCCGACTTTCGGATAACCTGCGCACATCATGTTATCCGATATCATTTTCGATGAGTAATTCGTGGCGCGACACTCCTCGTTGCTGATCACCGGCACCTCGACTTCCTGCAGGAAGCACGAAGGTTTTCCATCCTCCTTGAGGGTACCCCAACCTGCTGCCACAGCTTTCGTTCCCACGTACAGGTTGTCCTTGACGCTCGGAAGACAGATCGGCTTGATCTTGTCGGTGATCGGCACCCTATCGTTCAGACGCAGCAGCGCGATGTCGTTGTCGAAGTTGAGGAAACTGAAGGCGCCTGCGATCGCTCGCAGGACGAATCGGGATTCAGGTTTTCGCGCATCGTTGCATCTGTCGTGCTCCCCGAACGACACTTTGATCATGAACCACATGAACCTAACAACAACAACAACAATAACAAATAAACAAACACGTTATTACTATGGTGATGGGTTGTTTATTACCCTTTGACGCAGTGCGCGGCTGTCAGCACGTATCTGTCATTGATCAACATCCCTCCGCAGTAGAACCTATTGAAGTACGACAATCGAGCCATCCACGGAAATTCGTTCTCCGCAGTCGTCTGACCACCCACGATTCTGCTTGCATCGTTCCTCTCGCCGCAAGCTTCAATCAAAACAAAAACAAAACTAATTACTGTCTAGTTCTTGGAAATATTATAATGTTTATATGTTTATTTGAAAAAGATACTTACAGCAGCTGCAAGAAGATGGAGGTGTGTCGTGTCTGGGCGGTGGTTGATTCCCATAATTCCCGAACCTCGTGAACAGTCCTCTTCCGATATTCGCTTCACTCCTCGTCTTAAATTAAGAAAACAATAATAGATTAGTCTCATTAGTTCAAGTAATCATCAAGCAATTTATTTTTATGGTTGATCTATACATAAAGTTGACACGTTAAGTGCAGGTACAGAGATTAAAAGCATATCACAAGAACACATTTGTTGCGCAGATAAAGGCAGCTATGCATTCAGAAATAACGAAACAAAAGAAGTCTAATTTCTGGTCGAGGGTTAACGATCGTTCAAGCACGTCTCGTGTGCAAAGTGCAACATTATAAAAGACCATCGTCGTACTGAAACTTACCGTAAGATCGTGACTTTATTTGACTCGTTTTTTTTATTATTATTATGCGCATATGAACCGTTCTCTGCTTATTATTTATATGATATGTACAAATTAACAGTATTTTCAATTTGACACTGACGTTTATGTGTCACGTAAATTTAAGCACATTACGTAACAAACTAGAATCAAGTAGACATTTGATGTTTCTCGGTAAATTAAATGAATAATTATATAAAATTTAATGGAGTAAACAAGTAAATTATCAATTTTCCAATTGACACTGACGTCTATGTGTCATATAAATCTAATGACAAAACAAATGATGATCAACAACTAAATTTTATATTTCATTAAGTAAATCAACCATAATTATATTTTACTAATTAAAAAAGTATACATTTAAGTAAAATTTAATTTAAGTTTGCTTTCTGTATAAAATGTTTTTTTTTCTTCTTCTGCTGCTGTTAATTGATCGAAAATTTATTCGTAAATGAATCGATTCGAGGAACATAATGAATTATGGATGAAAATGAAAGGAATGAATTGAGTGCGTCTCGGTATTTCCGATCCGAAAAACCAAATTAAAATGTAATTAATCGCGTCGGTTTTTATCTGCTTCTGCAGAGTTTAATAAACCCGATGACTAATTTATTTATTGGAAGTTTTGATTGTTTGCTCGAAACCGGACGAATAATTATTATGTTTTCGGACAAACAATAATAATAATCATAATAATTCAGATTGGATTGGATCGAAGAAGGTGGCGGCGACATTCAATGCAAATCGACCTGAGCAGGGTTCTGCTCTGTTCACGTTCGTTCCTTCGTCCGCACCCACGAAAAGTGTACGTGTGTGTGTTCGAATTCGAGCACGATTTGAATACCCGTTACCCATTTTTTGTCCCTGAATGCTTCATCTTCAAATAATTCTAACGCTATTTTAAGGATCAAGTTTGCAAGGGTTTATTGTAGTTTTTTTTTTGGGAATCGCTTTGAGAAACTTTTGGATTTTTTTTTTTTGGAATCGATTTCTAAACGACACTTATATCTGATGGTTATTGAATTCCGAGCACGCGTTTGGAATACTTTCTCGCACATGGTGAAAGTAATTTCCACGTACGAGAAGAACGAAATGATAATGGATTGCATTCGAAGAACTAGATTTTTTTTTTTTTTGAATAACGACGATGAACTAATTTTTGTACTTACGTTTGCCGCTTCCAAGGTGATGAAGATCAAGCTGAAGAGCGCGAGAGCTACGTGCAGTTTTGCGGACATTTCGCACCAAAAAAACAAAAAATTATAATTTTCGAGAAACAAAAAAAATCTACCGTTCCTCCAAGAAGGAAACGCGAACCGTTTGCTTTTAAGTTTGTGTTACAATCTCGTCCGATTTTTCCGATTCAATTATTTCCGTTGAGAAGAATTGGTTCTTCGCCGCAGTCCGACCGCCAACTGTGGTCTCGTCGTCGTCGTCGTTGTTGAACCGTCTCGGAAATTCTTTCGCCTCTTCTTACAACGACCGCCGCCATCCGCCAACATTAAGTGAGTATAAATAAGCAGAACAACAACAACAACAAACAACAAACGGACGAGTAGAACGCGCCTCCTCCCTGTTACCACCACCACCACCAACAACATCAACATAATCATCATCAGCCAAGTTTCTTCTTCGCTTCCTCCGGTATTTTTTTTTTGCTGGAAATAATTGATCTGGAGCGATTATTTCTGCCAGACTTAATGATGATGAGTTCATTACGTTTCGCTTACATTTTTCCAACAAACGAACAATAATTTGTAATCTTCACCAAAGTTAACAGTTTACTTAATTTTTTTGCAACAATAATAATATTACGCGGAAAACGTTTCCGAGAATTTAAACGCTAATTACCACCAAACGGATAAAACCACCTTAATATGTGAATACTCGCTATATTCCCCAAACATTCAGCTTTTATATGCATCTTTTGGATTCATTCTATCTATTATAGTTTGAGAGAAAATCAATGAAATGTGAAGAGCATTTTTTAAAATTTGAACGCGAATTACAGCCATACGGATAAATCCACAGCAATATATGAATAATTGCTAGATTCCCCAAACATTCAGCTTTCATATGCATCTTTTGTATTCATTCTATGTATTACAGTTTTCGAGAAAATCAATGAAATGTAAAAACACTGCTTTTTCGAGCATTTTTTCAACTTTGAACACGAATTACAGCCAAACGGCTAAAACCACAGTAATATATCGATACTTGCTAAATTCCCCAAACATTTAGCTTTCATATGAATCTTTTGTATTCATTCTATGTATTACAGTTATCAAGAAAATCAATGAAATGTGA